TGACAGAAGAATTTGAAAGAATTGACCTTGATATGCTTTTAAAAGGCAGAACTAAAGCACTACCTCTGAACAAAAATGAGAAGCAGCTGGTAAGTACCTAACATATAATCTTGCGTTGTTGGTCTTGATTAGCTCACCAATTTTTCGATTGGAACGTAAAATGTTTTTTTAGTACATCCCAAGATCCTCATGGAAAATGACAACACGTGAAAGAACATTTTATCACTTACGAATAGTCATAACGCTTATACTCAGTGCTACACCATTTTGCTTCATTTGTATGGATCAGGCAGTTTACATGGTAAAACGTTCATTTTATTCATAGACTCTTGTAAAATCATCTTCTTTTGAGAAGAAGGTATTTAGGTCATATCCAACGTGTTTTACTTTACGGGTTTGATCAATGTTGAGTATCCTTCTCACTACGAAGTGAAGGTACGAATCTAATTGATTTTATTCGTATAGTAAATTTCTATTTTGAGGTATCTGGAAAGGGCCAAGCGGCTGAGCTAATGAGGACCGTACAAAATACATTCTCGCCGCTGACAACTGGAATCAAGGAAAGAGATGAACGGTAAATTACCATAAAATGCATAATTATAATAAGATAAAATAAAATAAAAAATAAAAATTCTACTGGATTCTTGTCATTTGCAGAATAATGAATAATTCATTTGTAAGACGGGCCAATAGAGCTTCTGAATCCAAATTGCTTAGAGATTGCTATAGGGCAAATGTCGGGATTGAACTAAACCTTGTAGTATATTTTGAAGTACTATCTTGATGTGAAGCTTCAAAAATTTTATGGTCAAATCTATAAAAGAGCCCACAGTGATAACATTGCTTGAGGAATAGAAGGTTTAGATGGAGAAAGTGTTTCGTGGAGCCCAATCCTCCAGATGCTTTCACCTTGTATTGCATCATTGGAATGTTCTTTGCAGCGCTGTTTCTGTGTCGTTTTCAGGTTTTTTATCCTTCATCTATGCTAATCAGTATTTAAGATTCGCAATCATCAGGTGTGGATGTCACGACAATCCTTAGCACTAGCTGATCACTTCTTTCCTGATAGAGTGAGACCAAGAGCTTTGAACTTATACAATAAGATCTTGCAAGACCGCAAAAACCTTCTTGGAGACATGATGAAGGAGCAAAAGGTTGATCGATAACATCTAGCCATGATGAAAAAGCCCGTTTTTGCAGAAGAAATTAGCTGACGATCAAATGGAAGGTCGTGAGACAGTTGTTCGTCGAGGCCTGCAGTCGAGAGGGTTCATTCGAGTAAACTGCAGCGTTTGCAATCAACAGGATCTTCGTTTAGCTGATCAGGCGTACGTACTTTGCATTCGACTTCATTGCATTCTGATTTTGAAGGCAGCGCCCAGGCAAATCTGGGCATATGGGGATCTCAACTGGGAAGTACTTTCGGGACCTAACTACGACGACACCCACCATCTTGGGGGTGGGTTTCGAACAATAATGGAGACGATGTTTTTTTTTTCAGAAGACAAGACTTTGGGAAACTTGAAATTACTACTCTTCTCCCCCGGCTCTCCACCGTAAACTGTGCACATGTGACCTGAAAAACTTGATTTAGCTAGCACGGAACTTTTTTAAGTTTTATGTAAAACTCAAGTTCTGCTTTAATTCTTCTTGGAAAAGTCCTTTGCTAACTCGTTGATGGGCGCCTGCGTCTCTAGTGACAGCCTGGTTCTCTCACGACAGCGCCGACCAATCAGAGGCGCAGTAAATAGGCTGAGGCTAGCGGTGCAGAACGGCCGCCTCTCAAGACACTGCCTCAGATGTAGTCATGGTTGAGTCGCCTTCAAACTGCCCCAGGACTGTACTAACGGAACGACATGCCGCCACGACCATCAGTTTCGTGTAGGTCCTCGCACGAAAGTATGCAAGCGCGATGGACCGCCGCCCTTTGATGCGATCT